GTAAGGAAATGCTATGATATGCTGTTCGAACAAGGTGGTGGAAATGTCCCATCAGAATTCAATTAAGTGTAACTTATAGCGCCTTGAAAGTCGAGGGAGAAAAGTGACTTTTTGTCCCCCCCTGTATATTTAAGCGCTAATCTTAGGAAACTTTTTTAAATAACTTTACTGCACTGAACTGTAGCGCAGCGCGGCAGCATGGCGGCGAATCTCCTTCTGGATTACGAATTGCCGAAGTTCATGCATTTTAGAGAAACGAGGTTAGCAATGCGAAAGTATCAGGTGGACCAATTGCGGTATTATTATGCCGTAATCGAATGCGATTCGGTGAAAACAGCAGAGGCGATTTACAACGAATGTGATGGTTATCAGTTCGAGTCGAGTAACGTCAAAATGGATCTCCGCTTCATTCCAGATGACATGGAATTTGATGTGAGTACTGGGGCGGCCACCCCAATACCTACTGAAGTAGTTAAATTGGTCAGATGTTTCAGAAAGATCGAATAAAAGAGGAACTGTGTGAAGGTGATGTCAACGTTGCCAAGTACAAGTCCAAGGAAAAGGTACTATTAAACGATAATTCGAGCCATTTATAGCCCCAAATTGCAATTTTTAGCTTCAATCGGCTATTGCGCAGACGAGTGCGCGCATTGGTTGGGACGAAACGGAAGATATGCGTGCGAGAAAATTCGCTGAAGCTTTCAAGTAGGCCATTTTTTCAATTACAGCGACAGTTTTTCGCTCGAGTCGCCCGTACCGGTGACCTGCGTTCGCATCTAGCTTAGAGGGAAGACGATATCTCAGCAAAGCAAGCCCAAAAGGGGCAATAGGGCGCGATTCTTAGCATTTTATTGTTCAGAGTTGCAGCCAGTCCCCTATCTCGCATATTCAGTGCGACTACTGATAATTCTAGCTGGGGCGTGTCAGGGGGCTGGCTTTGGCGAGGCGCCAACCCGTTCCCTACCAATTGTAAAGCAAAGCGATCACGGTTGATGGACAACGGGTTGCCGCAGCGCAAAGCCCAGCCCCTACCCCCCCCCCCTCCCCCCCCGACAGCATCCGCAGCAAACAAGTCTGTTCAGCACTTAGGATTGAAATAATGTATTTCAGCGATGAGGAAGGGGCCACAGATCTGATTGCGTGTTCGGATTCGGACGATGATCCCGATGTGGAGAAAAGGCGTCAGGCATTGTTGTCGCTTCTCGGTAGCAAAGAAGATGTAGACGGATTAGAGGTGAGCGTGAAAGACGTAACTCTAGCGGTCATTCTCGTATTAACTGCATTCATCGCCGGCGGCGTCGTCATGAAAAGAAAACAAAAAAGGCGCGTGCATTGCTGACAATGCACAAGCACATAAACTACAGTCTTCCTGCTGTTTTGCATATTACTATCTGAAAATTCGGAACCTTTTTTGCCTGGTCTTCGCAAACGGTTGTTAAGAGTTTTGGTTACGAAAAGGACACCAGACTCAGCGCCAGCGCGAAAATGGTACAAAATAACGACCATTTGGCGCGACGACCTTTTTTCTTACCAAAATTGGTGAAATTGTAGGCACTCGGATTACTTAGAGCCCGGTGCCTACAATATAGACTTCAAGGACCAGCGCTATTTGAAGCCAGATTATTGCCAGCCTGACTTCGAATCAGCAATTTTTTTTCATCATGGATTGCGTTTTTCCCTCAGGTCGATTGGGACAATCATCGGGTCAACGGCGCGAGTGACGATGAAGAGGAGAAAGAAGAGAGGAAAGTGACGACGACCATGTGATTGGCAAGAAACAAAGTGACGATGAGGAAGAGCCCGACGAAAAAGAAGTCATTCGGAAAATTGAGCCGAAAAAGAAAGAGGTGAGCTTTAATGTGGCAATGTTTGGGAACGCTGAATGGCACATCTGCGATAATCAAAAGGGCAGGGACTCTCAACCATTGTGCCTTCCTCTTTGGTGCTGTTCCTCTTCACCGTAATAGAGGGGGAGCGGGTCAACGAGGAAGGCACGATGGTTTTCGGACCTCTTCATTTATAGCGGATTCTGCTTTTAAAGGCAGTGGGCACGATGGCTGGCGGCGAGCAGTTACCGCCAACATCATTGATGGAAGGGCTGAGTGAGGAGTAGCCAAATGCGTGTCGCAGCCCTTCCACCAATGACTTTCCAGTGGTCGCCCGCTCCCAGCCATCGTGCCCACTGTCTTTAGCCTTTTATGGTAGTTGCTGACGACCACGATTTTCCAGAAGAACACCTATCAAGCATATTTGGAACGGAAAAAGGCGAAGAAGGCGGAGCGAAAGCAAAAGTTGCGTGAAATGCGAGAGAAACAACGGGAAGCGGCACAAGAGGCTGAAAATCAAACTAAAGCCAAGCAGAAGGTGAGTGTGCAGATCTTGCACTTCATATTGTAAATTAGCTATGGTGTGGGGCTGGTCTAATGGCAAGTGGCGTAGCCTATCACGAGCATGGTCCGGGTGAAATCCCGGATCGGCTCCTACCAGTTCAACCAACGGGAAAACACAGAAAAATCTAACACATTGGGCCTTTTCTTCAACCCCGAGAGTCATCTGTTA